ACTTTGGAGCATTGGTCAGAAAACATCATATTGGGCCTAACATACTGTAGCCAAACCATAAACCATTATCTTAGTAATGTTTTAAACTTAGACATTTAAGATTCAATATTTTTGCTTATGGTTATGTAGTTTTGTTGTCTTGTATTAGGTAATTTATTGTAGTCTTCTTTCCATTTGTCCGTGATCTAGTTTCTTGTATCATTTAGCTTTTCATATCTAACGTAGTGTTGTTCATTGACTGTTTTAGGTCAAATGGGTGGCTGGATAAATCCCTCAGGTTTACCTCCACTGCAGTTTTGTAGTTCCTTCTTATTTGGTAGCTATTGAGAAAACTCACTGTTATAGAGGAAGAATTAACTAATATCACATTACTTTGCAAGCCCTCGATCTCCATGCATTCCGTCCATGAAGCTGTCCTTGGCTTGCGTTTCTTGGCTCATGAGCTCACCAGTGAGTGAGCTGATGCTCCCAGTATTACCCCAAATCCTCCTTGTTGCCGCTTCAGTCTTGAACTTGAACTCAGTCATAGTATGTTATTGCAAAGATGGAAGGAATTTGTGTGTGAATGCATGTGCATGTGTGCATGGATTCAGGCTACGCCACCACCCACACAGCCTTAGCAACAGTTACCTTGGCAACTCTTGTCAGGAGTCGAGGGAGACGCCAGTTAAATGGTGCAGGAGACTTTTCACAGCTTTGAATCCTGTGCCATTTCCCTGCAAAGCAGAGAAGGATGTGGACAGAAGAGAAGCCTGCTTCAGCTCCATCTTCAGAGGCAAGAAGTATGTAGTAGTGTAGATGTTGGGATTCGGTGTGAAAGTTATTGCACTGGTCCCCCGGAAATGACAAAAGACAACTTTAACGATGCTCAAAAGTTCATACAGTAATAGACTGTAACTTCTGTTTTTCAGGCTCAGAGCTTCAGCACATTCAGTATGAAATAAAATAATGGACACTGCATTATAGTGCCAAGTCTCAGCTTTAATTTGAGTAGGTTTACGTCAGTTCATTGTTATGTTCTGCATCCCAGACATGTGGAACTGTCATAACAGGAAAAGCACAGGGAAAACTAATAACAGTAATGATGGCTATGTTCCGGTAATTATTGTTATGCAGTGAAGGTGCTAATTATGTTACAGCCGTGTTTGACAAGTCACCATGGCTGATGTAAAAAACAAAAAGGTAAGTGAACTTCAGTTTCATTTCACATGTTTAAACATTCGTAATTCTGTGCTGTTGTTGACACTGGCAGTAGATATGGCAGCATATCTTGTAAGAGCTTTAAAAACTGACACTTGTACAGATTTCATTGCTTTGTTTTAGGTTTTTTAGTTTAGTTTTGTTTGTTTTTTACCATTGGAACAACCAGTGTGTCTCGTGTTTTGGCTCATGTCAACAGTTCAGCCTGAGGTTTTGTCATGTATCTGCCATTCTAAATGAAAGTGTGTTGTACTTGTAATCTGTGAGAGGCTGCTCTCACTGATCAGGAATGTGTGTGCTGAGAAGCTGAGTGTTAATATAGTATGACATTCAAAGGTTGACAATACATTCGAGGGTCTGCATATACACATGCACACAATAAAAATGAGGCAGAGCAAAAGACACACATTACACTGACCCTGTTAGTTCCAATTTCTTTGTTGGAATTTGCTCCTTCAAGACTGGTTAATTTCGACACAGCTCACAAACATACAGAAGATGTCTGTGAATAGTTTGTAGTGAAATAAGTCGGCAAAACAGACAAACTCTTGTCTGTCTTCATTGCCTTTACCAGATCATCTACAATTGTTTCACAAAGTGGTCAGACCCCTCCACTTTTTGCACTTTGTGTTGTAGATTTAATTTTAATTTGATAATTTTTTTTCTGCTCATCAATTCACATAATTTTAGATAACTGAATTGCTAATCAGAACAGTCAGCAGCTTTTTCATCCACCAGTGTCTCTCCAGCCCCCACCTGCGTACCTCGCTGTTTGGAGCAGGTGGCACATTCTCTACCAGCCATGCTGCTGGTAGACAACCTGTCCCGGCTGTACCAGCTATAGCTTGTCAGCATTTGGCTGTTTGTCCACTGTTTCACAGAAGACTGCTGTATGAAGAAGACTGTAGAAGAACCCATTGTGATCTGGCTGATTTCACTACCGTATATATCTAGCTGTATCTAGTGAGATATATCTAGTCATGAAGCTGTTCTACTGCTGTTACAGTTCTGCGGATCTCACTGACAATGTGCTATCAGAGAGCATACTGAGGGCAGCCCACAGAAGGGACTGATCAGTCCTCAGAGACATAGCCCTACTAGAATTCCATCAGCCTTAAATCTAGGTCACCTCCGTTTCTGTAATCATATCAGTGAACCACTGAGGGACTGTGAGAACTGGGGCAGTTGTGTGTCTGTGTGTGTGTGTGTGTGTGTGTGTGTGCCTGATTGAGCGTGCAGCCATCCATGAGGATTGTTGGGTATCTCTTCTCTATTCACTGTTTTTTTTTTATTTTGGTGCTCTTTCTCTCTCTGTGTGTAAGGAGAAAGAAGACAGACCTAGAGATGGAAGATTCCATGCTACAATGCTACACTCCCTCCAGTAAAGAAAAGATATGGGACTGACCCCTTTTCCACCACCTGGTACCATCTCAGTTTGACTCAACTCCACTCACTTTGGTACCAGGTGTTTTGTTTCAGATAGTCCCCCTGCAGTGTAGCTGGCTGTCAGTGATGTAGTTGTAGTACAGTTGTAGACTACCTCTGGTAGTCTACAGTTTGGACTACCTTTGGTAGTCTACAGTCACTGTTTGGTATCACCTCAGCTTGCTTGGAACCTCAACGGAGGTGATGCCAAAAATTGTACCAGGTACTATCAACATTTGACTGATGGGAAAACAAGTGAATCAAGTTGAGTTGAGCCAGTACCAGGTGGTGGAAAAGGGAGATTAAGAGGCAGCAGACAGAAGAGATGAATTCTGAAGAATCTCTTTCCCACTTTTCCTTTGCATCTTATTGGGTCAAGCAGACAGGTGGATGGGAGCTTCTGAGCTCCCTGCAGCCTTGTCATAGCTAAGCTCCATGGTTTTAAAAAATAAAAAAATTCATGGTGGGTGTGGGAAGGCATATTGATAAAACAGTCCGGTGCTGACCTTTATTTCAAGCTTTTCTGAGAACTACAGTATCGGGGCAGTGCATGTCCACAGTCTCAACTAATGAGGTCTAGCATAGCTAGTTTAGTGGGAAGTGTGAGTGTGTGTGTTTCACAGGTGATGTTTATGTGTTTGGATCTGTCAACTGGACATGTGGGAAGAAAGCAAGTGAATGTCTGAATATTAACGCTGATGACTGGCTTTCAGCGGTGAGTCAACTATCGGCAGAACAGGGTGAGCAAGGGCTGATGACCTGACATCGTTTGATTTGATTGGAGTGTCTGTGATAGAGTGTGTGTGTGTGTGTGTGTGTGTGTGTGTGTGTGTGTGTGTGTGTGTGTGTGTGTTGGTGTGTAGCTCCAGTTCCCACCATCTCTCTCCTTGTGTGGATAATTTATGAATGTAAAACACACTCATTTCCATCCAATACAATTTCTGACCAAGTGAATCAAAGAATGTGACATGAGGGTTTTCATTTAATTTAGAGAAGCCTTGAATGTGTTTTTGAACCTGGCAGATTCTGCCCTCCCACAACTTGAAACTGCTGCCCCCTCTATACTATGATTTTTTTTTTTTCTCTTGCTCTCCCATTCACACACAAACACACATGTGCAATGTGAGTATGGAGCAGTACAAATCTTGTATGCTCATAGGTTTCTTATTTTGTCTTATTATATAGTTAGTCTGCTATATATTGTATATATTTTTAAATGCTTTTCATTGCTGCCTGTTTAACTCTATCTTTTGGAGTACGTGCCGTTGCAGAGCTTGTTCTGTGAATGCAGAAATGTGTACTCCCATTTTCATTCATATGTATGTTTATGGAAGCCTCATGTTTTCTACTCCAGCCACTTGGAATAGTTTGAGGAAAATCACATCACTGGCATAATTCAAGACTAATGTCAGTTCACTAGTGTGTAATTCTTCTTCTTTTTGTTGTTTTTGTTCTTAGCTAAACAGCTAAGACCAGAAGGTTTTGGATCTTGTGGTTTATTGTATGGGCATTTGTAGTGTGTGTAACTTCTAATGTCACTGTCTTACCAGGGCTCCTTTACAAAGGAGGATGTAAATCTCAGTGGGGTTTCTCTGGTAAAATAAAGGTTAAATACATTTAATTAATAAATACAATTTAGTTATTGCTTTTAAAAAAAAAGTGCTGTGGAATAGTTTGTTGCATGTATAGTTGCTACAGAAAGCATTCGGAGCCCTTCACTTTTGCCCAGTTGCTGATTAGTCTTGACACAGTTGAGCTCTGAAACATACAGAAAATAAAGAAATGGTGAAAGTCAGCAGACTGCAGACAG